ACTTAATGGTCAACCAAATTGGGCCGCGACTAAAACACTTGTGTTTAAATGATTGGGGACCCGTACGGGGGTGGGAGTCCGGCCAGATTGACCAACAGATCATGCTGCTTTTCGACAAATGTAAAACCATGGACGAAATTAAATTAATTATCGAAAGGCCCGATTTTAATCCGATTTGTTTGACCCAATTGCCCAAAAAAGCGCTCGAATTTGCTTACATCAAACACATACCAACGACACTCACCGATGAGCAGCTAGTTCAGTTGGAAATGGATTACAACCTGGACCATGATCACATAGACTCGCCATTGTTGCCAATACTGCAAAACCTGTCATTCAATAAAAAGATAAAGTATCTAAGAGTGGAGTCATGCGAATCGCCCCGATTGGCAGCCAGAGCGGTGCGGGGCCTGGACTTGTCCCTACGCGCACTCAATCTAAATATTAATAATTATTACGGTTCGTACAATGACGCCGATGCGGACAAACCGGGAGAGCACAGCATCGATACGCTATTATATTACAAATCCGTGACAGCTATGCCTCTCGAGGAGTTTACATTGCGATGCGGTAATGGATGTGATAGCCTGTTGATGATGGTGGCCGACAGCTGTTTGCCCCAAACGCTCAACTCTTTAAAATTAATAGACGGAGAGCTAACCGCCGCCCCGTTTCAGTACCTGATGCAACATTTGCCTCGACTCAACAAATTGATCATGCAAGATTGCATTGTCACCAAGAAGGCCGATGTACAGGCTATTAGTGATAGTATCGCCGATTGTCATAATTTGATTGATTTACGCGTCGAGATTATCGACGATATAGAAAACATGGAAAATTCACAATTCACCTATCTCAATTATAAATGTTTGCATAATATTGTGAGAAAACTGACCAATCTCAAATATGTGTGTCTTATGAATGTGCCCACCTATAATAATGCAACGCAAATAAAGTTCAGGCAACAAATCATTGATCTTGGCAAAATACGTAACATTAAATGTATAGTCGAATAAAGTTCAACGTCTTGGTGGAGGCGGAGGTGACGCTACCGAACCTGATATATCTGGTGTCACAGAATCAACACAATCAGGAGATCCAACAGAACTCCATAGCACTGATCAACGCCTTGTTCTCGAAGTAAAGTTCAACGTCTTGGTGGAGGCGGAGGTGACGCTACCGAACCTGATATATCTGGTGTCACAGAATCAACACAATCAGGAGATCCAACAGAACTCCATAGCACTGATCAACGCCTTGTTCTCGAAGTCGGATCTATCGAAACGCAAAGCAATGGCCGCCACTCTGTCCTCCAAACACATCCGTAACGTCATTCTGACCACTGTATTGAACCCGAGGGTCGCTGTGGGCAACGATTCCAGCGGTCAGACGTATAACGTAGGGTCAGAGATGGCCCACCAATTGTCAAAGTGTTCAGTGTTTTGCGCCAACAGTTAATTCGAGCGATGGCCGACTCCGAGGCGACCGTCAGTTATGATAAATTGATAAATTTGACGTCACTTTTGTGTTCAGTGATCACTAGTTTGTGGCAACAAGTGGTCGGCGCCGCCCATCACTCAAACCGGTCATATGGTATGCCATCACAACACTCGCAGTTCATGGCATTATTCACCGCCTATTGTCTGCTATTCTTCGTGTTTCGACTCAAGAGAAAGTCCAACTCATTTAAGGCACTGCTTGTGGTGGCCATCACTGCACTCTTCGCCGGTGTTGTCTATTCCAGGTCTGTATCTATGGTTTGAGACAAAGAATGCAGTGTTAATATTAATGTTGTTTTTCGTGATTTGTTTAATTCTTGTCTTAGAATATATCTGTTATATCATTATTGGAGTCAATGTTTGGTCGGTATAGCCGTCGGTGTAGTCTTTGCCAGCGTTTGGTTTTCAATGATTAACTGTCTCTTCGAGCCGACAGTATTTGTCTATATATTGAAAATGTGAGCAAAATTTGTGTTACTTTTGTGTTGTCTTTAGTTTTAGTGATAATTAACAGAATATTCTGTTTGTTTTCGCTGTGAATATATAGGAAAATGAGTCGTTTTATTGGTTTAACAAACGTTTACATCGAGTCCATAAAGAATATCAATTAGAATGTGATTAAATGATTGAAACATTTATATAAATTAAAGCATAATTAAGACATAAATTTTTAATGAATAAATGACAATTGGTTTTTATACGTTTTTTAGTAATTTAGTAATAATTTATCAATTTATAAATCATTTGTAAAACATTTTTAATTAATTAAAATTCAATTTCACATATTTTTGGTAATTTTATGAATTTATATACACTTGTTTATATCATATGATTAGATAAAACATTAGACATTGTCATCACTTTTTTGGTGATAATATGATTGCACCACAACTTACAGACAACTCTCACCGCAAAGACCAACACATGGACTACAAGAGGTACTCGTTTGGTGACCGCGTGTGCGACGACTTGTGTCAACTCGTACTCAATTGGCTGCCACTCAAAGACAAGGTCCGGATGACGGGTGTGTCGAAGCAGTTCCAGCGCTGCCTTCAGACCGTACGCTCGCAACAGCGATGGCTAGTCATCGGTGATGTGATTAAATGGATATACAGCGAGAACTACTGTCCCGGCGGTGATATTTGGCTACCGAGTGGCCAAACCTTGCTTCAGATGCATGTGGTAGACATCGACCAATTGGTACGATATCTGCGAGCGTTTGATGGCCTCCAAGAGTTTCAGATCGGATGTCTGACCAATAATTTAGATCACGTGATGGACGCAGTGGTCGACAATTGCCATCACATCCAACACTTGACTGTCCCGACGAGTCCATCACTGGAAGTGTCCACTCGTTTGGCTGATAAATACGGCCAACAGTTGCGGTCACTGGAGTTCATCAGAGGACCCGTTGAATACCCACCGCTGGGACTGTTGGCCGCGAGTCCGCGACTGTTGTCCTTAAGTGGAGTGTATTTCTCGCATTTGGTTCGCGACAATCAAGTCATACACAAACACCTCAAGAAGTTAGTGATTGAGGGAAGGATTACCGTCAACAGCAACACCAAGTTCACCACATTTGCGGACAATTGCCATGAGTTGACACGACTGGAGATATCTCTGTATAAGAACGATACGACACAAGCGATGGATATCATGGAAAATGTCGCCAAATTTCAAAGCCTTAAGGCATTGAAACTGTACTTAAATGTCCACCAATTGGACAATAATTTCTGTCATACCGTCCGAAACATCGCCCGAAAGTGTCCCGAAATCCGATCTCTGGACATGACTGTAGCCGTCGAGCATTACTCTGACTTCCGGCGACTGTTCATTGAATTGGGATATTTCCGAAATCTCCAGAAGTTGTCATTCGATACGACGAGGAATTATCCGACGGAAACCAATGATATGTTTGACATCAATAATCTTCGAGGACTCAAACGATTGACTCACTTAAAGGTGAGCAGCGATCAGATCGACGAAGAGTTCTTGTCTCAGATGAACGATGTTTTGCCTCAACTCAAGAGTTTGCGAATCTATATGAGTAGAGATATAACGGATCAAACCATGCGATTGTTGGCCCGCTTAAGACATCTGCAATTACTAGATATCCAAATATATGAAACTGATAATGAAAACGATGACATCATGTCTGTGACCGATGAGGGCGTGGAAGCGCTGGTCAATGGATGTCATGGTTTGCATACAATTCTTATGCAAAACTCACTGAATATAAGCGAGAATCTGATCCACGCGTTGATTCAAAAAGCGGTCAAAAACCGTGACATTAATTACACGTATCGTATGATTGGTGTGAATATTGATGTGAAACAGATTGTGATGGACTCCACACAAGACTTGACAAACATTAAGTTTATTGGCTTTTAATATCAGATTATTTGTGAATTTGATTACTATTTGTCTTTTGGCTATATATTTAAAATGTGAGCAAAACTTGTGTTACTTTTTTGTTGTCTTTAGTTTTAGTGATAATTAACAGAATATTCTGTTTGTTTTCGTTGTGAATATATAGGATTTTAATACTTTTGCCCACTTTTTATTGGCCACAAGTATTGCATCAACTATTCAACAATCTATCGATTATTTTATGTGTTTTAGTTTTATAAATAGTTTTATTCTCAGAGAGTGTGGAAAGCATTCCTTTAAATCAATTAAATGATTGCTTTATTTAATTCTTTGGCCAAAAATTATAAAAAAGTTTATTTTAATATATTTTTAATTTTTCATAAATTTTGTTGTAAATTATGAAATGAAAAATAAATGTTATTTATTTTCTATCGATTTAAATATTAGTTTCTTATGAATAAAAACGCGTGTTTTTATTCATAAGAAATTTTCTGTGTATTTAAAACTCGATTCAATTCATTAAACATAAACACATGAATAATAAGTCACTTTTTGTGCCATTTATTAATAAAACGCCGCAATAAATACAAAATATAGTACTTAAGAATGAGTTAAGTATTTATGAATACATTGTTTAAAATTCTTATAAAATTAATCAATGTTTAAAAGTTGTTTAAAAAGAAGTTATAAAATCTTAAAATTGGATCAAGATCAAAAGGTTATTGAAATAGAAATTCATTTGAGTTGTAGAAAGTTTGCAGACAATTAGAGAGTGAGTATTGTCTACACCAGACAATCACATTCTGTTTCAACATGGTCATTATCAATAAGACCAATAAAGGCAATCATAACAGTTATTTAAAATAATTTAAATTTAAATAACAATCGATATATAATATATTTAAAAACGGACAACGAAACAATTTTGTGACCAATGTTTGTGACTCGAAATATAACAATAATTGTTACTAGATTCACGCAAAACAATGAGGTCGAAATAATTCATTTTAAATTAGGAATAAATACGGACAATGAAATTATTGGTCTTCTTTGGAATTATAGAAATGAATATTCAATTTGTTTTAAATATATCATCAAAATGTGTGATTCAGCGGCTTTTGGGGTTTGGCATCAATTCTGTTGGTCAGTGTTGTTCTCAAACTGTTGGGCTTGAGCTGCTTCGGGGAGTTCTATAAAGCCGGCAATCGAGCCATCATAGGGGCCATTACGGGGCCAGTTGTCCGAAGCGGTTCCATAGTTGGCGGCCAAAGTTGAGCCATTGTTGGCCAACAAATCGGGTCCGTTATGAGCAGCCGCTGGGTATTGGCGCCGATGGGTTGCTCTCATTTGTAGCAAATATAGCGGCAAATTGAACGCTGAATTGGCTTTCATGCGGACAGTGATATCGCGATGCATAGCGACGAGTGCCGGGTTGCGGGCCGGTTGGTGCTCACCTCTCAGCACACATATCAGCTGCCCGTAGGCCTCACACACAGCGCGTAGGGCTCTGTTCTCCTCCTCCACGAACTCGAGGCGCGGGTTATCTCTCAACAGTCGTCGGATTGTTTGCGTTTGCAATTTATTCACTTTCCACAGACTTGTGTTGTATTCTTGTTGATCGGTATTTCCATCGGTGACAACCGTTTGCGAAAATATATTGCCCATGGTCTAACATTAGAAATTAACCATTATTATTATCACAATTTGTTTTATAATAAATGATAAGTAATAGTAAAATTATATAACACTTACGAATTGTTGTGTAGTTTGCACTCAACACAGTCTGACTTAAGGCACATGTGATGACCAGATGGACTAGAGTTCTGTAATTCAAGCAAAATTATGTATTAAATGTAAGACTTGTATCCTTTTATCAATCACTTCAATACCGAATGGATTAAAACGAGAGAGAGAGAGAGAGAGAGAGAGAGAGAGAGAGACTAATTTATTCTTTGACTCTCAATTGTGATTAACGTATAGTATCGCTGTGTGAGTTGTTTCATTCTTATCTAGTTTCTTTTTACATAAATGGTGAGTTGCGTGAATTACACTCACTCACGGTGTTAACCAAAAAAAGCCTCATATTTCAGGGGTATACAGTATTAAATAGTGTTGTGTAACTTTATATTGTTTTACAAATAAACATTTAATAAATTTGAGAGAAGCGCACCGACAGTGACCTTAAAATACAAAACCTATTTAATGTGTAATATTATACATGTATTGAATACATTTGATAGCATTTCCTGTCTTACAAGTGGTAAACAGATTCCCAGCAAATCAATGCCAAAGTCAGTCATTAATTGTACAAAAAACTAATTTATTCATTTTCAATTTCTTTTCTTATAATTCACATAGAATATTAACTATAATAGTACCTATGTCGTATTATATATGGATTGATTACTCAATTATTAGGCAACATTTTTTAAATTTAAATCATTAAAATGAGGTACAGTATATTTACAGCTACTACTTGTCCAACACTTTATACACATCTCTCTGGCATTTGTAGTGCCATTACATTCAATGTCCAATTCGTGTCGAGAGAGAGAGAGAGAGAATCCGATCCTATAAACCACATTATTCTATACATAATTGTAGTTAAGAATATTAATTAGTATTGTTATTCTGCATTTGTATAACATTTTATTGATTAATTAAATCAAATAAGATTTATAAATAAACATTATTTGATAGTACCGCAAACAAAAAAGAACCATTAATTAATGAAAACCCTTTTAGATATAATTAAGTCAATTAAATATTACCTCATGGCATTTATCAAAACTACAACTTTTAAGCTGCTTTAGTCAATATTATTGTAATATTATAGCATTAACTGTATTAAAGCTTAATATCGCGCAGACTCACAGATGAACCAAGCTTAAAAGTTGTAGTTTTGAAAAATGCTTTGAGGTTAAATTATATACAAAAGCCTAATGTTTTATTAAATTATGTTAATATTTTTAACCACAATTCAGATGAATGCGTTCGGGATTAATGCTAATACTATGAGAATAATGCAGAACCTATGGGACTAATGCTAATCCTGTAGGAATAATATTAAGTCTATGGATAATTCTAATTTATTCTTTGACTCTCAATTGTGATTAACGTATAGTATCGCTGTGTGAGTTGTTTCATTCTTATCTAGTTTCTTTTTACATAAATGGTGAGTTGCGTGAATTACACTCACTCACGGTGTTAA